GAAAGCTTAAGAAAAGAGCCTTTTGTCTTCTTTTCAGGAAAGTTACACTGAAATTCATCTGTGCTTTATTCATCTGCTTTCATTTATACCATTCATGGCCATCTGTCTGTAGAACAAAGCAGATGAATTCCTAACCTCAGCGTTCACACAGTGTGTTGGGAAAGGTTCAAGCCCACCACCTCCCCACAACCCCCTGCCTTTTTCTGGGAGGTCCAACTAAAGTACAGCTTTCAGTTTCAGTACTGAGACATCTCTGGACTGTATTTCTCCACATGCCATTAAAATGGTGTGACAGAGTTCTGCAGGATTGTGGAAAGGGATGTGTCTGTGCAGGCGTACCTATATAAAGTGGTCTCTTTCTCACTGTAACAAAACTTAGCAGATTAGAAGGAAACATGGTTTAGAAGTTTGCTCTACTGGAATTTATTATTAAATACCTTTTTTCCCAATGATTACTTCATTTCAAGCATCATCAGCTAGGACAACTTGAATTTACCTTTTGTGGAAGCTGCTTCAAATGTGACGAAGTAGAACTGTATCATTTCGCTAAAGGTAACCTTTGATGTGGGTTTCTTAAGTAATTCCAAGAATGAGTAGAGTATAATTTTTTTTTAACACCCCCCCACCCCGCACCTTCCCACTTCAGATGGGCTATTTACATGTATCTTTTGCCAGATCTTCATCTTGTGTAAACTGGCATAAGACATTAGAGAGGATCTGGTCTGTTTTATGCACTAAACACATAAACACTTGGGAGTATTATTAGCATGATTTACCTTCACAAAAAAAACCAAAACTGTCTTAAAACCAGACTTCTTGTTAGACTACTTTTAATATAAATCTGTCACTTCTTCCCTCCCCAAATCAGATCTAAATAGCATAATTTATACTGATCACCTTTTGAACTGTAGAAGACACATTAGGTTACATTAAGAAGTGCTGTACCTATTTTTCTTAATCTCTTCAGAAAGCTGTCGGCGGATTTCATAACCAACATCTTGATCAACCCGCCTCTAAAAGCCAAGAGGTACTGGAGCAGGCCTCAAAACTTTTTAATTTGTTGATCCACCTGGAATAACAACTTCCCTCTGTTTCTCTGCAGACTCTTCGTACTCTGAGCCTCCTGACGTTCAGCAGCAGTTGAACCACTACCAGTCTGCAGCTTTGGCCAGGAACAACAACAACATCAGCCCAATCCCACTTTCTGGGAGTGCTGCAGGAGTGGAAAAAACAGAAGCCATCCTTAACTGTGAATTTTGTGAATTCTCTTCGGGTTACATACAGAGCATTCGGCGTCATTACCGTGACAAGCATGGAGGGAAAAAACTCTTCAAGTGCAAAGATTGTTCCTTTTATACAGGCTTTAAGTAAGTACTGTGCGAAACAGATAAACTTAACTCATAAAGGGTTTTGTAGCACTTGAAAAGACTTCCAGAGTCTTTGAGAGCTGGCTGTAGCTAACAGAAACATGGCCACTGCTGACCAAAGAGAGGAACATAGGAAATGCCATGCCAGATCACAGCAGCATCCATGTAATCCATTTTCCTGTCTCCTACAACAGCTGGTACAATCTGCTGCAGGCAAAAGCATAGTAAGGTCTTGCAGTAGGTTTTACTTGCTGGAGGAAATGGTACAGGTACTTTTGCCTCAACCTTAGCCATTAGAGGGTGATCCTTGTCCTCAAGTGTGAACATTTTCTCTACAGAAAGAAATAAGGTTATTTCCTAGTGCAACCAGCATGAAGCATGGGACACTCAAGTGTCCGAGTGAGACAGGAGAATTTATATCACCTTTTCTAAAGAAGCCTCTCATTTAATTTTATTCCTCCCACCATCTATCCACCTGAAATGCAAAGTATTCTCTAGCATATCTGACAGCATATAGAGACATTCCAGAAAATCCAATTAGGTGTGCAAAATTTGAAAACTTGGTGCTATGTGTTTCTCTGTCTGAGTTGTTATGTGCTGTTCCGTAAGGAAAAAAAAAAAAGGAAAAAAAGAAAAAAAGACCTATGCACATGTGCTGTTCATCATTTCCTCCTGATAATGCTGCACCCTTGACCATAACACCATCAGCTGGCATTTGAGGTCTCAGACTGGTTCTTAGGACACTGATGGCAGTGAGCAATATGGCTGGACAAAGGGGAGGAGTTCTGTTGAAGAAAGTGTTGAGAAACCTGAGAATCAACACAAGAGCAACCTCTAGTTAAATGTCTCTAGCCTCTGTTCCTTCAGCCCCTTGCTGCCTCTCTGGTATATTTTGCTGCTTGTGCTTCATATCCTGATTGCTCTCTGTCTTAAAGATTACTAGCAATTGCCAGTTCTTTTCAGTCTGATCATATCTTGCAAGCGCCATTTCGTTCTACCTGTTATGAAATGAAATAGTCTTAAATAAAGCAGCATTTAAACACGCTCATAGTTGTGTAAGGGAGTAGTGTTCTTTCATGTGGTGTCCCAAATATTCAGGGATTAAGTCATGCTTCTTTTAGAAGCACAGCATGTTTTCTGTCTTTAGAAAAAAGGAGTTCCCCCCCCATACAAATCCCCTCTTCAGCTCACCATAGAAACTTAAATGTATGAAAGCACTCACTGAAGTTGATAGAAATACACCTGTAGAATTCAGTGATCGCTGGATTTGGCCCAAAGCCAGTTGTGTTGGTAAGTTGCTTTGTGTTCAAGCTAACAGTCTTAAAAAACTTCAAAGAGACTTCTAACTCTAGTTCAATGTGGCAAGCTCCTTAGCTTTTGCAAGCTCTACCACTGCTTTAGGATAAAGTGACCAAGTACCCTGGGTTTACAGAGACCTTTCATTTCAGTAGTTGAGTTTGTAGTTAAATAAGTGCACAGTTAATTTCCTCTGTATGCATATCTCCTTTGTCTTTTAAATACACAGCCAGTGTAGTGCCAACATGAATTTCTTTTGTTCAGAAGTACTGTGTAGTATTCATTCATTCCTCCACAGTAGTAAGTAAAGGATTCTTAATCTTGAGTTTTCAGATCCTTATAGCTGATGCTTTAAAATTTAACTACTCCATTGCCAAACTTGCCGTGAATGCAAATCTGTTTTATATCCTGAATCTAAACATTTTAACTGTTTTTGGGCTTGTCCTAGAACAACCGAGGTCGTTAAGGATGTTACCTGCCTCCAGAAATAAGTCTGTCCTCACCTCTGCCAGTCCAGAACAGTTGATAGATTTTGTTCAACTTGCTAAAAAATATCATCTTTACCAGAGAAAGTACACTGAATATTTTAGCCCAAAGACAAAGAATAAGTGTAAAAGATGCGAATTCTTTTGCTATCTTAACTATAGCAATGTGACTATAGAGCAACCCATGTAAACTAATATCTTGCCAGAATGAGTGTTTGTTACTTGAGGATACAAGCCTGCAAATACCTCTGCTCATGTGTTACCCATGTGAGCAGCCTCACTGAAATGCCATGTGGCAGTGTGAAGACAAGGCTGAGTGGTATCTGTACCATTTTACACAACACGTCCCTTACAGAGCTGTGACACTTCATCGTTCCCTGCACACCTCTTCTTACTGCTTCCATCTCTCCCTCCTGTTTCACAGATCTGCTTTTACTATGCACGTGGAAGCTGGGCATTCAACAGTTCCTGAGGAAGGACCCAAAGACCTTCGCTGTCCTCTTTGCCTATATCACACCAAATATAAACGCAACATGATTGACCATATAGTTCTGCACAGAGGTAACAATATCCCTGTATGTGTCTGTTTCTGATGAGGGGAATGCTGAACAATGCTCTTGTCTTTCAGACTTGTTTCATTAACTTTTCCCCTCTCTGTACATGAGGACAAGTACGTTGAATAAGTAATAAGCCCTTGCATATCTTCTTCATTTTTAAATAATGCATCTTATTTATTTTCTGTAAAACTCAAAGTTAGTGCTGAAACAGGGCAGATTTAAAATTGTTTTTAAGCTTTTCTTCTAGAGAGGTTAACAGTCATCAAACACCTGTTTAGCAAGAGTTGCCCTAATTTACAGCTCTGATCTAGGCCAGACTTGTTTCCTGCTTATGTCCTTGTTATCCTAAAGTCCTTGCTATCATAAACTCTGTGACAGGGTATATCAACTAACCACAGAGGTCCCAAAATATCCCTTGAACATTTGCTTGAATTTTTTCTCTTCATCGTTCTTAGGATCAAAGCAAGAATTATTGCATTTTTCTTTTTTATTAAGATTCCCTTTCTCTCTCCATCTCTCCCTCTTTTTTAAGCCAGCTAAAAGTGGGATTAGGGATTTCTATATTCTATTAACTGTGGGCTTGCTAGCTTAGAAGAGACAGCTGTTTGGGCTCTCTAGGCTGGGATTCCTGCCCATAGCTATCACACTTGATGCTTGTAGATGGTCTGTTGGCTGCCGAAATCCAAACCCATGTGTTGGGATGGCACTCTGCCTGCTTGCAGGTTGGGCAGAGTTTCACAGGAGGGTATTGGTGGTGAGCAAACACAAGTTTTGCATGCCATCTTTTTCCTGGAGGAGATCCTGGTGTGACAAGTGCTATCATAATTCCTTGTAACATACCACTTTTCAGTGTTGGTAGCTGAAAGTCCTTCTAATACCAAAGCAGTGAGGTTGGCAGAGTTCATACAAATTTCTAGCTGCTAGCAGGGCTGTTCTGAGGGAACATCTGGGAAAAAAAATGACCTGTTGGGGATTGAGAAAGCTTGTAACAAAGCTGCCTTATTTGGTTGTAAGAGTTTGGCAGATGCTTTAGCATTTCCTTCCTGTCTTTGAAGGTGTTGCTGTGTAGGATTTTGCTCAGCTTCAGGGTATAGTCCAGAATTAGCTCACTTTAGAGAAGAGGTGGGTTTAGTTAACCCCTGTGCAGGAGACTGTGCTGTTCCAAGTGCTGGTGAGGTGTGCTCTGGCTTTATGTCTGTGCCAGGGCTCCAGTGGACACTGCCAGACCTTTAGAATACAGAGAGACAAGCTGAGGGAGAATTTGATAGGCCTAGTTAGGGTATTTTCCATCATGTATAAAC